TTGAATGTTGTTGTTGTTGAAACTTGATGCTACTCTGCCCAAATTTCTAATCACTCACAGTTAGCACTTTTCAGTCTCTCATTCCCGGAATCCGCCTACTCCAAGATCGGATTTCCATCACTCTGATCTAGGGATGATGTTAGCAGGCGTGTCCTAATAAATTTTCCATCACGTTGTACACATGTGGCCACTTAGGTGTTCTGTTACAAAAGGACAATCATATGTACACACACACAATATAATCAATCAATCCCGTATTCCAGGATTCTGTTGGATTGGTCCGTAATATGTCGTTGGGCAATAGTCACAACCCATAGTACATCATGAATATTTATAATCCAAATGCTTTTAAGATAAAGTTTTTATTGCAATATGAATTTTTCTAATTTGATCTTTTTCTTTATCAAATCTTGTAACCCATTTGGTAACTTCAATTCTCACCTTATCAATCTTATTCAATTATTTCTTATCAAACATGCAATTTTGGATTTCACATACTAAAATGAATAATAACCGAAATAACAAAAATTGATGTTATTATTCTGACTGAAAATTGCTAAAGAACATAGTCATATCTTTTTCATATATGTAATTTTTCTTTAATTATTAATAAAATTATATATTGAATATTCAATTTTTCATTAATTCCTAATTACAACAGATTGTAGTGATTCATTAAATTTGAATGATACCACATGAGCTATTATTATTATTATTATTTGCTTAATCTCATTAATATGTAGTGTTTCATTAAATTTTTCATTAATCACTAGTAATACGTAGTAGAAGAATAAGTAATGAAAATAAAATCAACAAACAATCTTTTTTGCAAGGAATCGAGAAACCATCTTTAGGGGTATTTGGATCTGATTCTTAAAACTGCTTCTGCTTTTTCAGGAAGCAGAGTCAGAAGTTGGAATGTTTGGGTGAAAGTGCAGAAGTGATTATGGTGCTCTAGTTTACTCCTAAACCAGTTTTTTTAGAACCAAACACCCTTAATCCCAAATCTTGTCAAATCCTATACTCTCCCTTTTTCTCAGAATATCAGAAGTCCCTCCACTTTCCAAATGAAACAGGCTCAAAAATTTGGAATTCCCTCCACTTTTCCTAAAGAAACCCGCTCAAAAATTTCGGATCCCTTCTTCCAATCCTATCACCGTTGTATATATCTCATACGCAGCCCACTTTTAAACCCTAGCAACCATATCGCCGCACCCCCCCCCCTCTAGAAAATCACCGCGAGAACAGCTCTGAGCAAACTGCAACGAGACCTTGCCGCCCATTGAGTGGCCAATAACCACATCAGGCCAATCCCAGCCTTGAGATTGGATCAAATTGGCCACATCATTCGCAGCATTTTCCATCGTGTGAGGCGGTTCAAAGCCTCCAATCTCCGCCGACTTACCGTGATTTCTAAGGTCCACCAGAACCATCCTCCATTCTTGTCAAAGATCCAAAAAAGAACACTTCTTTTTTTTACTTAGAAACTCCATCTCCTAGAAATATGTACAATAATACACTAGAACATAAGAGAGAGTACCAGTGTGAAGAGAGGACAAGAGAGAGCGAGAGAAGGAACGCCAATTGCGACCGGGGCCTAAGAGGCCGTGAAGAACGAAAGTTGTGGAAGTGCAAGGTCGGTTTGGGGATGACCGGACTTCATCGAAGACCAATGTCGAAATTGACCGGCGGTGAACTGGAGTTGGAATAGTAAGCACTCGGTTAAGTATGTTATGAACCGTCATCTTCCTGGGTAGCTATATCTCTATTTCTCTGTTTTTTTTCTTTAATTTGCTCTATCGTTGTTCTCCCTGTCTTGTGAATTTGTTGGTTCTTTTAATCGGCAAGCTAGAGTATACATTTGTTATTCAGCTTTCTTTAGAAAGAAGGATAATTGAGTTAGCCATCTTCAAAATAATTGAATAAAAAATTTATTTCCATTGGACAAAGGCTCTATTCTTGCTTATCTCTCTTTCTTCTCGTGTTTGACACGCTCTCCTTACTTGTTTGGTTCATTTGACATTCATGTAAAGGAATTCATTCTGGCTAATTCCCAACCCATTGTTGTTGTAAACAGGTACAATTGAAATGCAAATAAAGAAATAAAACGGAATCCATGTCAAAGGACATCCAGCTGCCTAGATTAAACAATACTCTGTAAAACTATATGCTTCAATCGGAGATTCATAAGAATGGTGAGTAATATCTTTTTAATAATTTTGCCTATATGCCACAATATTCAGAACTATAGTCTGCCCAGAGCTCTTTTTTCTACAAACATCATTTTTTGCTGTTTTATATTTTAATTTTGCATTTTCAATTTTGTTATTAGATGAGTCATGAAGTTTCTTGTCTATGCAGGAGATTTTTCATAAGTTTTGGTGGAGGGCTTGTATCAGCACAAACAAATCCAACAACCTAAAGTTGACATTAGGATAACTAAGTTTGCTAGTTCATGTAGCACCGGCAGATGTGTGCATTTGTTTAAAATATGTTTATTTATTATGTTGTACTCCGTATGTAAATTGTAATGTAGCATAAGTATTACATTTTCAATTTCAATAATGTAGTTGATATGTATTTGAGATTTTAATATGGTATGTAATTATATACGAATTAATCTAATTTTGCTTATGAATGATTGGCTATTGGTATTTAAATATTGAAATCTTGGTTTTGACTTTTATGATTTCATTATTCACATTGATTTTGATTTATTTTCTACGATTTTTTTAAATTATAATGGTATTTGATTGGCCACAAAAAATTACATTAGTATTTGAATAATAAAAACCCTTTTTTTAAAAAAATACACATAATTTAGTGACGGAATTTAGTGGGGGAATATCTGTCACGAAAAAAGTGGCGGATGTGTTCGTCACTAAATTTTGCCACTAATTGGTGACGGAATGCTATATCCGCCATAAACACCTTTAATGTCAAGATTGCAGTGGCGGAATTTCCGCCACAAATATCCGACGCTAAGCTAATTTGTGACGAATTTAGTGACGGATTTTCCGCCACTAAAATCCGCATTTCTTGTAGTGTAAAAATATTTTTACAACTTCAAAAAATTGAGAGTTAATAGTTGGGTTTAATAAAAAAAAAGATCAACTATAGTTGAGATTATTTAAAGCTTACACATAGTTCATATTTAAAAATGACCTGCTATACCGGGTTGTAACGGGTTAGGGGTCATTTTTGGAAAATGGTTCATATAGTTGGGATTACTAAAAAATAATCGATAGTTGAGATTACTAATGACAGACCTAAATAGTTGTGATTATTATTTTGTTTTTAAATTCCAAAAGATATGGCTAATATGCATTGACAGTGACGTTCTCAGTGACCTTATGTTATAATGTCACTATAAGATAAAGTCATTGGAGACTATAATTACCGATCGGTTCATATTACCGATCAGTTCCCATAATTAACTGCTACATACAGAAATTGCCGTTTGCCAATAATCATAGTCATCTTCTTAAAAGGAGTGAAGTGATTGAGATTCACATTATATGTAATCGAGCAATTTCAAAAGCTCAAGAGATAATAAGGCGATTATTCAATTATGTAATAATACTCCGGACCGTTTTTCACATTGTGATCGACCAATTTCAAAAGCTTAAAAGATAACCATTCCGGACCGTTTTACAAAAGCTTAAATTGTTCTCATTATCGAGTTATTTTATAACAATTTCAAACTATGAACATCAGTACATTCATTAGAACAACAACATAGTATGTAGTTTCAATACTGCATAATTACAAGGATAATTATTACTTGCATTTTATAAATAATTACTATATTGGAAAAAGTACACAATAGTTGTATGTTGCGTTTTGAGTAAACTAATAGAGAATATTATAATTTAAGTAACTTCAAAATAATTTTTTTAAAAGATTCAAAATAAATAAATGGTAAATTAACAATATGAACTATTGTACTACGAAATTAATTACTCCCTCACTACCATTTTAAGGTTTATATTTTGACTTTCTTTTTTGTGATGTTCCATTCGGTTCTCATTTCTATTTTGGTAAACAATTACTTCGTAATACTCTTCAATGACAATTTAATCATTATGTATTAATATCAATACATCTATAACATCGCCGTTATCATCAATGACCCCATTATATTATATAAAAATCAAATTAAAATTATTTCTCAAAATATACTCGAATTATCATATTTAATTGCATTCAAAAAGAAAAGGGAAAATGGAAACTAATAATCCAACCTTTTAGCGGTCTTCTTACAATAATCCAACCTTTTGATTATTCATGAATAATCCAACCTTTGCACCTCATCTTCATTCACTGGTCACTGACCGGTTGATGACCTGCTATTCCAAGCTATTTTCTTATCTTTGCAAATCATTATACCATAAATCTCATCTTTCACAAAGATAATATTTTGCAAAGATAAGAAAATAACTTGGAATAGTAAGTCATTAACCGACCAGGGACCAATGAATGAAAATGAGGTGCAAATGTTGGATTATTCATGAATAATCAAAAAGTGGGATTATTGAAAGAAGAAAATTATTATTGTGTAAATAATCGTACTACTACGTATTTTGTAATTAGAGCCTTAGAGGAAATAGTGGTAGGTTAATTACGCATGATTTGACCTCTGGTATATAAAGTAGAGGATCCAGTTCCATCTGGGGTGTTTGGATCTAATTCTTAAACTTGCTTCTGCTTCTTTAGAGAGTAGAAACAGAAGTTGAAGTGTTTGAGTGGAAGTGTAGAAGTACTTCTGGTACCCTAATTTACTCTCAGAATCAGGTTTTTTAGAAGTTAGGGATAGACTAGCTTCCGAAAACTGTTTCTCATTCCACTTCTTAAAAAAAGAAGTACAAGCAAATTCCAAACAGTGAATACGTTTGGGTGCGTTTACTTTTAGCACATGATTGTAGACAGTGATTTATTCTCCCACCCTATATATAGTGCTAATTAATTAGGAGTAATTAATAGGCGATAAGGGTACTAGTGTTTTAATAAAACAAGAGAGCCAGAAATAAATTAAGACTGAAAAGGAGATGGGGATAATGGCGGAAGTGAGCAACAAGCAGGTTATATTGAAAAACTACGTGAGCGGGATTCCAAAGGTATCTGACATGGAAATCCGGACGGCCACCGTGAAGCTCGAGCCCCCGACAGCGGCCACCAATGGCGGTGGCGTATTCGTCAAGAATCTCTTCCTTTCATGTGATCCCTACATGCGAACTCGCATGACGAAGCTCCCCCCGAATACCGGCTGCTACCTCGGTGTCAATAGTACCTTCAAACCCGGCGCCGTAAGCCCGTCATTTCGAGAAAATTCTCTAAATATTACTACCTCCATCCCATTCAAATGTTCCCGTGCACTATTCACATGGTCAACTTAAATAATTCTTAATCTTTTGCTTTATATATTAAATTTTTTATCACAAATTACATTTTTCTTATCAGGCTTTGTAGTGGTTTTAATATAATTTCTGAATATGTAAATTTTATTTACTAAAAATAATCAGAGTGTGAACATGGATTAAGTTGCTTTATGTCAGTCAAACATCGTAAACCGTAACGGGAACCTCCTAATGGGACGGAGGGAGTATGATACTTATCATAGCAACTTTTTCAAATAGAATTATCATTATTTTCTTCTAAAATAAGATTAATTGTTTGAAGTCTCACACCTGAAAACTATGAAGTATTAAAGTGGTAAATTAAGATTTGAACTACTGTTCCTATCAGGTTAATGTTTTAGGATGACACTTCAAGTTGATATCATAGTCAAATTGATCCATAACTATGATGTGACCTCCCTATCAAAAAATGACTATAATTATAAAAAATAAGTAAATAACAATGACAAATTGATGAAATAATTAAATGAATAACGACACGACGCAGACGAAGCGTCGGGTGATATTGAAGTCGCACACCGGAAAATTATTAAGTCATAAAGTGTTATATCTCTAGATCTGAGCTACTCCTCCATCAGGATGACCTTTTAGGAAGGAAACTCAGATCTTAACAGTTAACACATTAAATACACTCTTATTTAAGTTTTTTTTGTCTTATAGTTTTTAATACCAAGTAGGAACATATTTCATCCTTTTTAAAGATTTTTACATGCGTTTTATTCCTATTATGAATTTGAACAATTTCATTTTTTCTTTCAGATACTGTTTATTACATTATCTTAATTATTAATCTACCTGAAATAATGGCACACATTTGATGGCAAGCTAGTAAATAATTGACTATATATGCAGACTCTTGAGGGTTTGGGAGTGGCAAGAATAATAGAATCTGGCGGTAATCCGGACTTAAAGAAGGGAGATTTAGTATGGGGAATCACTGGATGGGAGGAGTACAGTGTCATGAATGTGGAGACGCTTTTCAAGATCCAACATACCACTGATGTTCCTCTTTCTTATTACACTGGAATTCTGGGTATGCATGCTTATGGTGTATGTGTTATATGCAATTTCTTTCTTAAATGCTACACGATAGTATATGCCAACAACAACAACATCCAAGCCTTAATTCCAAAAGAATTCGGGATAGGATCGACTAACATGAATCGATCTATGATACGCCAAACAGAGAAACGGATAAGAAGGGGGGAAAAGTAAGATAAAATGCTATATATGCCAATGCGAAAAAAATGCAACATGCGGATTTCATACTGCAGCAAGTTGGGCTAAAAGTGGTGGTTCATATAGGCCCAACCTCAAAAAAATAAAATTGCTAGTATATATATATTATATATAATTCCGTTAAGAAATGATATAACAACAAAGAAAGTAAATAAGTGTACAAGTAATAGTTTGGCAAGATCGAAGTAAACTGATCCACATACATGTACGTTCCGTGTTTGAAGACTTACATGTCCTGGGTTCGAAGCTCATCTAGAGCTTTATTTATTTTTTTTTCTTTTTAATGGAGAGCTAGTGTACAAATTTTAATTTCTTTCCTAAAATCTCTTTGTCCTTCATACAGAATATCTTTTTAAAATCTATCTTCTAAGATGAGTTACTACAAGGCTAACATCAATTGATCTCAAATGTTAAATGAGTTAGATACTAATATTGTAAACGGCCTTTTTGAATATGAGCCTGAAAAATTAATTTGTTCAATTCATTGGATTTGGTACGTGAAAATTAGTTTAAAATGTATGAGTTTGAGGTGTTTTGCATTCGACAGAAATTCTTATTCATGTTATATTTATTTTTGTTTTTGACATTTATGCTGCAACAAATTTTATTTTATATTTGAAAATAAATCATGTCAAATAACATACGTAGTACAACGTACTATTTTGCTACACTTTGACATTTTTTGCAAACTACATTATTTAATTAAATTATGGCCCCACCTGAATGGCGATGCTGGATCCGCCCCTGATCATACATTCGCACAATAGTCATGATTATTATTGTCCGAACATAGTGTAAGAAATGTATTGAAATTAGTTCTCCTTTGTTACACTAAGATCGGGTGGGAAGAGACGTTTTACGAGGTTGGCTGAACATAACATTAATACTTTCTTAATAATTCGGTAGTGTTCGTGAAAAATTAAACATTTAAAAACTAAGTTAAAAGTTTTATAATTATTTATTGAATCGGAAATCCAATTTAAAAAGAGAATATTACTCGAAATAGGACTACAAAAGTATGAAAATTCCAAAATAGTACTTCCATGTTTTTATTCCCAAAATAGGACTAATTACTGTCATGTTTTGGCAGTACTAGACTTCAACATGACAGTATTTTCCAAACTTGCAGTAATTACTCCTATTTTGGGAATAAAAACATGTCAGTCCTATTTTGGAATTTTCAAACTTTTTAAGTCCTATATCGGGAACTTTCCCATTTAAAAAATGATTATAAATAGATTATTGATAAGTGTGTAATTAAATAGTCATAATTAGTTGATCCTCTTAATCACAGAGGCGGACTCAGGAAGTTTATCTTGGGAGGGCGGTAACTTAAAAAAAATATTTTTTAGGAGGGCGAAAATTATTTTTTGGTATATATATACACTAAAAAAAATTTGTTGGAGGGACCACTGCCCCCTGGGTCTCTACTACGGTCCGCCCTTCTTCTGATCCAGTTAATTGAATTGGACACTATAATAATGCATATATAGGAATGCCCGGAGCGACGGCGTATTTTGGATTTCATGAGGTGGCGGCCCCAAAGAAAGGAGAGTGTGTGTATGTTTCAGCGGCCTCTGGAGCAGTTGGTCAGCTTGTTGGCCAATTCGCCAAACTTTTTGGTTGCGGCCGTGTTGTTGGGAGTGCTGGCTCCAACGAAAAGGTTTGTCTTTTCATCGGTCTCTCTACAATAAAAAAAACGCAATTTACATTCGATCTCTTAAATAATTGTATCCATTCGGTTTAGGAATGGATACAGAGTAAATTAGGAATGAATATATATCGGAACGAGGTGTGTGAGAAATAAATTGTTTCTCGACGCACAAAATGAACCCAAAATTAAAACTATGACTTCATAATTGTTTTTACTACGTAGTATAAAAATAATCAGTAAAAATACTAGTACATAGTACTCCGTAACTAATACGAGTAAGAATTTGTCTGTTGTACTCCGTATAATGGAGGTAAGTTTTTGTTACTACACATTAGATTCCGTAATAATGTCTTAGCTAATCCTCTCTTTAGTAGTTACATATACTTGTTCCCAGGGGCGGATCCAGGATTTCATGTAGGGGTGGGCTGAAACACTAAAATGATACTCCCTCCGCCCCGCTATGATTGTCCCATTTTACCTTTTCGGTCCGTCCCGCTATGATTGTCCCATACCTTATTTGATAAAATTTGTGTGATTCTAAATCATTGTTACTTTATTCTTACTTTATCAATTCAATATCAACCACATAAACTCACTTTTATTAATAACTGTGCCACTTTCTCTTGTCCCAAACTTAGTGGGACGGAGGTAGTAATACATTAACAATATTCAAAATAAACAAAAAATCAAATATAAGAGTTCTCACTAAAATTGTCCCCGAGGAGGCTTTGAAACAAAACTCAACAACAATAATAGAGTCTACATCTATACAATATAAAGTGTCCAAGAAAGTCATGCATCCGTCATTTTTGTCGCGGAGTGTTGTTTTTAGAAGTTTCATGGCAGAAAATGATCATTATGCTTTGCAGTAGAAACAAAGCGAATCAATCTGCTCATCATAACATATGAATCAGATCTTCTACTCTTAGTCAACTCCTCACATTATTCAACAAGTGTAGATATTCGAAACTTTGTATCAGGAATTCCAAAGCAAGAATATCCTCACTACTAACACAGTGTCGAAAAAAGGTGTTACCAAACGGAACCTAAACTTAAACAGATCATGTTAGAATATTTCAGTATGTACAACTGAAAACATCCATAGTCTTCGAATCAATCTTATGCTTTGCAGAAAATGATCATTATGCTTTGCAGTAGAAACAAAGCGAATCAATCTGCTCATCATAACATATGAATCAGATCTTCTACTCTTAGTCAACTCCTCACATCATGGAAGAAAATGATCATTATGCTTTGCAGTAGAAACAAAGCGAATCAATCTGCTCATCATAACATATGAATCAGATCTTCTACTCTTAGTCAACTCCTCACATTATTCAACAAGTGTAGATATTCGAAACTTTGTATCAGGAATCACATCATGAACATAGTGTTGCAGCTCGAATTCCAAAGCAAGAATATCCTCACTACTAAAATTTTCGAGATAGAGCTTCAATTCCTTGCAAGAGTACAATTAGCATCGACGTTGAATGACTCATTCGAATTTTTTTTAGATCCAATGAAGCACTCAAAAAAGGAGTTCTAATGATTTATTATTAAACTGGGTCCTTAACTCCATCAATACAAAGTTGATTGCCTCGCTGAAAACATCAAAGTGATAGTGATGCTCAACTGTAGTTTATTTTCGGCAACGACCAACCATATATTTAGAATTCAACTCTGGTACATGAATTTTGTGTTTTGAGCAAAACTCTTTTACTTCTTCAAGAAAGTCTTTCCATCCATTTTCTCTCAATTCCCCGAGAATGAGTTGTGTAGTAGAAAATGTCTTATAGCTATCAAGATATCCAATGATTTTTTTGAATCCCTTGACAGAGAATACTCGTTATTCCTATAACTTTGTGCATTAAAAGTAAACTGGACCCAAAATCCAAACATGCAAAGTGTCTATATACACCATGAACTTCTACCTGAGAACTCGTTTTTGGGCAATATTCTTGAAGATACTCAAACACTTTGCAAGTTGTTGTAACATGTCAATCAGGTTTTTAATTGAATCATAATGGGAACTCCAACGCGTTGCTCCAACACTTTGTAAATTACCATTTTGATTGGCTCCACTTCCAGATTCACGCTCTCTTATTGCCAACATACGTTCAACTTCTATTCTATGAGCACTTTGTAGATCACTAATTCCTGCAATTGCACTAGATGCCCTCCCCTGGGCCGGGCCGGCCATGATGCGTATAACATTTAGATTAGATGGTAAGATTTTTTTTACGGGCTAAGCTAAAAATTGGATTGAGCTATAGAAAATTTGGGGTAGGCTGGATGGAAATTTTTTTAAAAAAATACCTTAAAAAAAATTATTTTTTTTACTTTGCCCTGGGCTTCAGCCCACCATAGCCCTAACATAGATCCTCCCCTGCTTGTTCCTAGTATGCACTTGGTAGATAGTATGAAAGAATTGAAATTAATAAAGTAATTAAGACTAAAGGCTCTCTAAAACATGTATGAGTATATTATAGAGTTATAGAGGTAACATTAATTTAATTTGTTATGTGGAAAAAAGGAAAGATAAAAATTGGACAAAACTTTTTAATGTTACCCCAAAGACACATCTAGGCATTTGATGATGTTTTGTGTAGACCAATAAAAAGTTTATTTAGAACCACTTTTTATCAGGAAAAAAAAGTTTTATTCACACTTGAGAGTTGGGAGTTGGGAGTATATTTTCTATATATGTATTTCAACATTGATTATCGTATTTTTAAGATTAACTTTTTTTGTTAAAAAATTGAAAGCTTGAGTATCCTTTTTTCCGATTCATATTATAAATCTAACGAGTAACAACTGCCATTAAAGAAAATAAAAAATAACTGCTTTTAATAAATGTCGAGACACAAACTACATAAAATATGAAAAATTATCTAATATGCCTAAATTTCAACTTTTATAATGAGAGAATTCCCAAAATCGCTTAGGAGTAAAAACGTTTTGAAATTCCAAAATAGGAGTATCATGTTTTTTATTCCCTAAATAGGAGTAAATTTCTGCCAAGTTTGGGCATTACAAGGTTTTAAACATGTCATTTTTTTCCAAACTTGGCAGATTACTCCTATTCAGGGAATAAAAAACATGATACTCCTATTTTGAAATTTCAAAACGTTTTTACTCCTATTTAGGGCAAATTTTGTTTTATAATTAATCATAGTTTGAACGTTATCTGTCATTACTCCTAACTGGAGCAATTGCTTTCAATCAACCAACACGGTAATTAATATCAATAGTATACTACGTACGTAAAAACAACACGTACTCGGATAATGCTTTTAAGTATCCCAATTCAGTACATTTTAATGGTTTTATAAAGATTTTCACAATTTGTTATATATGTATATATTTTTTTGGTAAGGTTGAATTGTTGAAGAACAAATTTGGGTATGATGATGCCTTCAATTACAAAGAGGAGCAAGATCTGAACATGACTTTGAAAAGGTGAGTTAATTTAGTACTATCTAGCATTTGATTTATTTAGATTATTAAATTATTAGTAAATGTGTAACGTACAAAGTTTCCACTTGTTTTACTCCGTAACTTTGACGCAAAAAAAAAAATTATTTATACAAGTAAAATTGTGTTGCTAATTCGGATTAGCCAAATGAAAACAATAACAACAATGCAAATCACAAATAAAATAATGAAAAGTTTATTCAGGTACATTGAAGTACTTATCATATCAGAATTGAAGTATTTACATGTAACATGTGACAAATAAAACAGCACTTCCATCCTAAAAGATAATCCAATAGGAGAAATTCAAAATCTTATGTGGTCATTTTATATACCAATTCAGTGTAGACAAATACATCAATATCATCTTCCAATATTATTTGACAGTATATATATCTTAATTTTATTATATATACATGTGGATATTGAATGTTGTTCGGTTATATTGTTGATTTTATTTTTTGTTTGAAATTAGAAATTATACTCTCTTCATAAATAACATTCTATAGCTCCCTAACAAAGTTGCATGTTGAGAATCACAATTACTACAATGTAAATAGGACCATTTGCGCATAAGTAAGACTGTATTTTTTTCATTTACCATGCAATTTTAGGATTACAGTACATTACTTTTGTTTTGCTCATGATTTAATATTATTATACCAATTCACATTATGTTCCTTTTACTATAATATAAATATAGCTCGATCACTTCAATAATTCACGCCCATTATAAACTCATTACAATCTTATTTCATGCGGAGTATAATTATTTTAATATATATATGATAGACTATCTACCCGGGGGTGTCTTATCCGAGGGGTTATTGCGGGAATAACTAGAGAGAAGTCAGAGCAAATAGGAGGAGAGAGAGTCGATTTTATTAAATGAACTCGAGATGTGGAGTTGGGATGTAGATCGTGTTTTACAAGGAGAAATGGGCTGCTATTTATAGCAGCAATAAATGCGATGGGAGGACACGTGTCAGTAATCCAACGGCCGAAGGGTCACATCAACCGGTTGGCACCGGCAGTGGTACGTTTACCGCATTGAATGCGGCTGGCGGATGTGACGTGGCATTAAATGCGGTGGTTGGCTGTCTCCAAAAGGAATCTTCGATGATTGAACGTGTTTGGCCGAAGGCAAACTTGTGTAGCCGAGGGCTCCTTGTGTAGCCGAGGGCTCCTTGTGTAGCCGAGGGCTCCTTGTGTAGCCGAGGGCTTTTCTGATCCCGAGGGCGTGAGAATGCCGAAGGTTCATGTTTTCGCCCGTTTTCTCCCAGCAGCTTCTTATGCCCAAAAAGGCTATCCTGTGAGTTTTGGAGCCTTCGGCCAAGGAGGCCGAGGGCACCCCAGCGTGTATCCCGGGCTACTTTGAGGCTTGGGCCGTTGTATTTGGGCCTGAGTTGTTCCCTGAGCCCAACGGACTTGTGTAGGAGAAGTAGGAGTCTATGGGCCGGGGGTTCCTGGGCCATATACTCCATCAGGAGTCCCTCACTCCTTTTGCCGAAAGGTACTTGAGGGAAAAGGAGTAGTCGTGTTGATTCTTCTGGAGGCTTCATCTTTTGGTTGGGTGCCTTTGCTTGAGAACTGCCTTCTGTTTATTGCCGAAGGCTTCCCTCAGTCCCTCACATGTCGAGGGTTTTCTGAGGGAAGTATAACACCTGTATAACCGCCGAAGGCTTCCCTCAGTCCCTCACATGTCGAGGGTTTTCTGAGGAAAGCGTGGATGTATTGCCTGCATGTGTTGTGATGAGGGCTGCTTCATTTCCGCGAGTGACTCGGGGAAAAAATTTTGATACTCTACCCCTGCCGAAGGATATGTTGAAGTATGTACCCGAATGTTTCTGCTTTGATGTTCACCCGGATGCTACATGCGTCAATTGTAAATCTTTGCATGAGGAATTTTTGTCCTGTATGATTCCCGAGTGGTGTATCCCAGTCCCCCAGTCCTTTAGGCCGAAGGCGAGTTCGGGCTGAAGGAGTTGTGATGAGTTGATGAGTCCCCGAGGGGTGGTCACATTGATAAGCCGAAGGCTTATGCTGCTACGGGCTCGAAGGCGTTTAGTGGAATAGTACCACCGAAAGCCGTGTTAGGTGATAGCCGGAGGCTATTACCCGGGAGCATGCCAGTATTTCGGGGATATGGCCGGTATAATAGAGCCGTTGGAAGAGGGTTCCACGTGGCGCTTTGTCGTTGGCAGGTGGGGGGCGGGTGCTACCCATTGGTTGAACCGGCGGCCCGTAATGATGGGCTTTCGAGTCGAGGCCCAGTTTTCGAGGCCCAGTTGCCTATAAATACTCCAAGTCTGATTCATTTGTTGTTGTGCGATTTTATTGAAGCGAAGCTCTGCCAATTTTTCTAGAGAGAGAAACCGACTTTCGATCAAAACCAAACCCTAAGGTCAGTTCTTCACCTGTTCTTCCTCTTTTCAACATATTTTGCTATCCCGGCCTTAGATCTAGGGTTAGCGTCTTTTAGGAGTTTTCGGCTAGAATCCTTGAGTAGTGTCCCTTCCTAAGTCATCCACACCTCCTTCGGGTAAGATGTCATCCCAAAGTGATTCGCAAGATATCTCGAGGGAGTCGTCGGTAGAGGTCGAGAGCGTTTCCGAGGTGGAATCCTCAAGCGAACAGCCCTCGACGAACAACGACCTTGCCTTAGCTGAGGAGGTACAGAGCAGCCTTCGGGTAGAGATGGAGGCGGAGGAGTTTGAACAAGTGGTGGAGGATGAAGAGATGGCCATCGCCGTCCAAGTGGCTGAGGAAGAAGAGGAGAAGGAGCGCCGTCGGGTAACGGTTGCTGTCATGCCCTCACGGGGAGCTGGTGAGGCGAGCACCTCTCGCCCGTTGGATGTTCAACCCCTCAGGGTAGCCGAGGGTAAGAAGAAGAAGTCGAGGGCCGCCCCGAAGAAGAAACAGGCAGCCGTGGATGCGGGGAGGCCGGTTGGGATCCCCGAGGGTCACTCCTACTTGGATACCACTGCTTTGGAGGTGAAGACTACGGCCTCGAGTGCCGACTGCCACGCCCTCCAGGTCCTTGTGGGGCCATCGGCACGAGTCGTGGAGCCGGGGCCCGAAGACGTGTTATCTCATCCCCCGGAGGGATGTTTTGCGGTGCACACGCTGTCGGTGGAGTTGGGCCTCAGGTTCCCACTCCATCCCTTCGTCCTCGAGTACCTCAGGTACGTGAAGCTTGCCCCCTGCCAGCTCACCCCGAACAGCCACTACTACCTGGCGGGGTTTCTGTCCCTCTGCCGGAGTCGAAAGGTGGAGGCTACTTTGGAGCAGTTTTTCCTTTCCTTCAATCTCTGCCGGGGGGGTCACTCCCATGCCGGGGGGTACGCCAATCTACAGCAAGTTCCGGCCTGGAAGCTGTTCTCCCAGACCCCCTCCTCCCACAAAGACTGGAAGGAGAAATTCTGCTTCATCCGGATGACAGAGAATCCGTTCCCGGGGGCTCTCAATAACCATTTCAAGAGGCATCCGAAGGTAGGCAATGCGGCTCTTGACAAGGCTGGGAGGATACTGACCGAAAAGCCGACGGGTTCTGAAAAAGTGATTGCTATCAAGGAAGCGACGCTACCCGAGGAGTTGTACCTGCTGGGCTTCCGGTGGTATCGGCTTCCGGAGGATAAAGACGCTAAGTACCCCCCGATTGATCGAGGGTACCAGAATGCCGGAGGTTGTTGCCGAGGGTCAATGTTCTTGGTACTTAGAATAATTTTCTTGATTTGCAATGATTCTAACTCTCGTCGATTTTGTGCAGGTGACATTATGGACGTGCAAGCCTTCGCACGTTTGTCAAAGAAGCTGGCCAAAGCGCCGAAGAAGAAGGAGGCCCCGTCGCAGCAGAGGCCTGTGGACGAATATTTCAGGGAGGCTGGGGCTCCCAAAACTTCGGAGGGTGTGGGTCCCTCGGTGGAAGTTGCCGTTGCTGACTCCGGTGCTGGTGCCGGAGGTCTTAAAAGGAAGAATGCCGGAAAAGGCGTTGCGCACCCGGAGGTCAAGAAGAAAAAGAAGGCCGAGGGGGGGAAAGAAGCCCCCTTGGTGATCCTCGATGATCCTTCCTCTTTCTTCTCTTCGGAGCCCGCCCCTCTTCAAGATCTCGACGAGGGGCCGTGGCCTCAAGAGACGGTCCAGTTCTCTTTTAAGAAGGGAACAACCATCATGCATGGCACCCTCGACCCGAGGGAGTTTCTGAGGGGCGCCACTCCTCCGCTGGACCGGGCCACCCTCGGCCGGTTCGATGATGAGACCCTCGAACTGAAGGCCCTCCAAGCCTCCGTCTCTGTAAGTCCTTGAACCCCTCGCTCCATTACCTTTTTGTGTCTTTTCTTTTCGCATGATCCTGACTTTGCATGATTTATGTTTATTTCAGGCTTCAGTGGCTCTCGGCGAGTATATTCAGAGGATGGGGCAAATGCGCTCAAGGAAGGCGCAGAATGATGCCTCCCTGGAGAAGCTTATCCGGGAGAACGCCGAGGCTATCAAGTATGGCGCTGAGATGGAGGTGGCCTTGAAGAAGGCCAAAGAGGAGCTGAGGGAGGCAGAGGAGAGGGCCCGAGCTGAGGGCAAGGCGGAGGCAGAGAGGGCAGCCGCAGAGGCCGCCAAGCAGGCAGCCGAGGAAGCTGAGAAGGTTAAGGCCGAGGCGGTTTCCAAGGCCGAGGAGGACGCGGTGGCAGCTTTCCTCGCCGAGGGGTGGAAGGCCGAAGGGAGAGAAAAGTGGGTGGCCTCGGTGATTGAGCAGGGCGTTGAAGATTGGGTGAGAGGCCCCGGAGCCGAATGGATGGCCCTGAAGGGTAAGAATTACTTTGATGGGGGTGAATTCTTCACCCAGCGCCTGATCTACCGGAAGCTAGCCAATCACTTCGGCGTTGAGCCCTCCCAGTTTGACCCCTCGGTATATGGTCTCCCTCCTCGGCAGCCAGATGTCAGGACCCCCCTTCCTCCTGGTGAGGAGAGACGCCAGTTGGAAGACTCAG